CACGTCTCCCACCACCACCACCACCCCCCTTCAAAATGTAAAGCCACAGAAGAATCTGGTTCATCCTCCCCTCCCTTTCAAAAAGCTGAAATGTGTCACCTCCAAAGAGATACAAATGCGGTCAAAGATATTATCTAGTTCCATTCACCAAGACTAAAAAGCCTACACCTACTTCCTTGGAAAGGGCTTAATTTATTTGGCAACTCCACAATTTAAAAAAAAAAAAATCAACAGTATATCGCTCCCTGCCTGAAGTCTCCTCCTCTCCCTCCATATAATGTCATCTACTTCCTGTGTTGGAGAGAGCATTTGCTAAATCCAGGTTGTCCCATACTTAACTGCCAATAAACCAACTTCCACATAACTTCCAGACAGCTGGGGAAAAGGTCCTCGGAGTTTTAGTCATGGTCCAGAAACACGCGTCCACACAAAAATTTGCAGCTGTCTTTTCTCTGCAGTGCATTTTTAATGTGATTCGGGGGCCCCTGTTGTGAAACATCTGACAAAGTGCAAAATCCTCTTAAGATACCTTCCAGTTTACCCACTGCGAGTGTGTAACAGAACTTGCACCAGGATTTCTCAACCGAGAAATCTAGGCACTTTTTACACACACCCGGGCACCCCKTGGGATGTTAGGAGGCATTCAAATCCTGGAAAGACTTGGACTGTAATCTTTAAAAGCGCAGCCTCTGGTGCAACTATTAAAATGCTAGCTTTCTAAAGCAAATATTTTTTTAATGGCGTGCAGAACTGCGACGCTCCTGCACGGCTAACAGAACAGCATTCTTGATCTGTAAGCTCCCGGAAACCTTCCTGTAACTTTTTCACAGCTTGCTAAGAAACAGCTGACCGACTTCCAGCAGGGACTCTAAATGAAATCCCTATCAGTAAAATTAAAATCAAGGTGAAAAATTCCTAGCAAGAACCAGGATTGTTTTCCTCAAAATCTCTTCATCAGAGATGGGGGCATCAGCCAAAGCTCCTGGCCCCTAAGCAGTGGGTCAAGTTTCCCAACACTTCTCCCAGATAAGCACTGTCAGGCTCCCAACTGCTCTCAGAGTTTGTTACTGGGGTTTCAGAAAGCCCGAGTATCCACAAACTGCACAGCGCTGGCACATTAAATTTATAATCATTCAAATATGACTTATTGGGTGAATGTTGAGCCCATAATCCATACTGCAGACATTAAACCCCAACCTATAAAGATTAGCACAGAATTAATACTGTTGCATTGAGATTGAAATCTAAACATGTTCGCCATAAATATTTCTGAAGGAGATGAAAAACAATTAGCATAAATACCAAAGAAGGGCAAGAACACCTGTTCTTTTTCAGGGCGATAAGCATTTTATTGTTCTCTATTTAAAATGTAATGACCTGTGTAATTACAGTAATATTACATTGTTATGGAGGGGCTTGGAATGTCACACTTTGAAAAGTGTTGTCAAAACAATCAGGGGTGAAGGTGGGGGGCGGGAAGACAACAGGGAAGGACCAACATTAACCCTTCACACTCCTAGGTCTCAATCTTTTGTATCAGGAAGGATTATGTTGTTTGAGCGGGGAGAAAACATCCATTTTTCACAAGCCAGAAAGAGAAGTTGCCCAGCTAAATAAAACCCCAATGAATAGGCCCCTCTTGGTTTCCTTTAAATTGCTGAATCCCAAGTTCAAAAATGAATTCAAGATAAATAAAGCAGCAGCTTATTTATCTGCTCAACCTAGTAGCAAATAGCTCAGCTGAAAAGCAAATAAGTTTGGATAAAAGAAGATGCAAGAGTTCTAATAACCGAATTCTTCAAAAGAAATCTCAAATCTAACCGGAATTTCCACTACTATAGCCCTATTTCTTGTTGGCCAGGAGGGAAAAAGAAATGCAAAACTACTCTTTCCTACCAACTCTACTGTGGTAACAGCATTCTTATCTGTAGTATACAAATGTCACCACAGTTCTAATATTTGCAGTTCTAACCCTTCCCGGCTCCTTAACTAGACCTCTCCTTAATGCATTTCTGTATCTGAATCTGTCTTTTTAAAAGCCATTCCTATTACTGTATCAAAGACTAAATTAATGTTATGGGGAAATCTTTGTCCTTTTAAAATAAAATTATTACTATCAAGCTTTATGGCGTCGTCAGCAATTAAAGCATTATTCTTGAGATAATGTATTATTCATCATAAGCCGATTTAATGGTACTCCTAATTCTTTACATTCTTAAACAGAAAAGCAGAAATCAGAGTTCCAGAGAGTGTGCTTTTTAAAGGATGCAGTTGCTTTACAGGTATGCTCCTAACTAACAGAAAGTGTAGTTAAAAAAACAAACAACAAAAAAAAAAAAAAAAAAACACCACCAAGGAAGGGAAAGAGGATCAAATATACCGATAATTTGTCTTTACACCTTGCCCTCAAAAACAAACCCTATGTAAAGCGCCGGAGAATTTCAGATGAGCATGGAATGACCACTCTCTTGCCTATAGATTCCTCCGCAGCTGTATCAAATCTGGAATTGCAAGCTGGCCCTCTGATCGAAGATGTCAAGAGTGACACACAACAGCCTCCCGTCCTCATTTCCACTGCTCCGCTTACGGGCCTAAATAAATAACTTTAATTTGGGAGCACATAATCTAACCCAGGTAACAGAGAGGAAGGAGGAAGAGGCAGTGTACACAAAGATGTCTGCTGGTGTTTGACATGCAAATACTAAAACTGCCTACTGAGTTCAGAAATGTCCTCTCAGACTCAATCTGATGTCACAGCACAAGGCCACCCGCTATGTCCACAATTAAAATGACTAGATGTGTCTATTCCTATAATGCTCACAAAGGGGACCAAGGTTTGGGAGCCTTCCTTTTCTCACCGGGAAATAATTTATTTGCCTTTAACAATTTCCCAGTTTCCTAATTACAGCACTACATCACTCTTCAAGTTTTAGGCGATGGCATGGCAAGATTGTCAGGGGTCACAGACGTGGAGTTTGAAAAGAGCCAAGAAAGCCAACAAGCGAGCCATTACGGCTCAATATTCAGATGGTCTTTCAGATGGCTAAGTGGATTTTAAAATAATACGAAGGAGGTTTCCATCCTCGGGAGGAGGGAAGGAGAGGAAGAAATTCCCAGGATTACTTTGGAATGTTGCTTGGTCCAGTTTGTTAGCACAGGACACTCCGATTCTGAGCTGAATAGTCCCTTTTAAGATGCCAGAAGCTCCCAAGAAAAATACCAAATAACCTGACTGTGTTTCCCCTACATTGCAAGCCAGAGCCTGGCCCAGAAGCCTGAAAGAGCGGGCCCTACAGGAGGAGGTCGGGCTGAACCACGCTCCCAGCTTCCCAAGCATGCAGAAGCCTGGGCGTAAGAGAGGGGCAGGTAATTATTTCTTTCCTAGCCATAAAAATGACCGGTCTAGCATGCTCTTGCCATTCTGCCAGGGCCCAAAAAAAAAAAAAAAAAAAAGAAAAGAAAAGAAAGAAAAGAAACAAGCCAAACCTGATAGTTAATATTTTAATGCTTAAAAACACTTGTAGATCTGATCAACTCCAGCCCGGCAAACCTGGGCCATGAGCACCATATCCACTACTGCTCAACAGTGGGTGCATTATTTCAAATTGCCATCTCGAGTTACCGAAAAAGAAAAAAACAAAAGTACTGTGTGTAAATAAGGGGTGGGGGACCAAACCAGAAAAGGTGCAAAATGACAATTCCGCGAAGCCGGGAATAAACACATCTTGCGTGTCTAGAGATGATTCCTAATCCAGGCTTTTTAACAGAGTGGGATGGGGGAGGGGCTCGGGATGAGGGCAGGGGGACAGAGGCCCAGTGGGGGAGGGGATGAGCCTTTCGAACAAATGTCAGCGGTGAGTGCCCGACTCACGCTGCAGGAAGCGCCCCGGGAGCCTGGCACCCCGCGCTGCTCCGGGGCCCCCCTAAGTTGGACCKCAGGCCATCAGCGGCCCACTGTCTAGAAGGAGACACACCCCTGGCCTCTCACCCCCTGCACCCCTTGAGCCCGCGCACACAGGTCTCTGGCCCCCCGAGGCCCACCGAGGGCCTTTCCAGAAGCTATCGAGAGCAGACCACACTCCACACCTCAAGCCACCAGATTTCCCTAGAAACACATCAAGTCCACCCAGAGGAGGCCATCTAGGCTGCACACAAACCAAGTACCCTGGCCACAAGGGCCTCCCCACCCCGCACTGCCCAGTCACCCGCGCGGCCCGGGAGAGTCGCAGCTAGTGCGCCCTTCAGCCGAGCCCGCCTCGGCACCCAGAGCGCTCGCGGCCCTACGGGTGGCCAAAGAAAAGGATGCCCAGAGCCCCCAAGTGTGCGAGGGGACCAGCCTAGTGTGACCTTCCAGGGAAAGGGGGAAGGAGGGCCGAAAGTCAGTGATCTCCACTAGAAAGCTAAATAAACAATCGCCCGAAAGAGAAAGCCGAGGCGCCTCTCCAGGGCCCCGGGCACTGCGCGCTCGCTAGTTCTCAAGTGCAACGCCTGGAGGAAAATGCACTCGCCACCCCGCGCTGCGGGCACAGCCCGGTCACGCCGGGCCCAGCAGCAGCAGCAGCCAAAGGGTTAACCGGGGAAAGCCCAAGACGCCACAGAAGAGGGAAGAGAGAGAGAGAGAGAGAGAGAGTGAGAGAGAGAGGGAGAGAAAAGAAAGAGCCACACAGTCATCTTCCCAGGGTGAAGAAACAAACAACACCACCAAAGGGGGAGGGGGGATCAGAGCGCACAAAAAAGTTCTTCTGATTTTTCCCCCCCCAGCCAAGCCCTGCTTGGAAAGAAAGGGCTCCCCAACATCGCGAGGCAGCAAACTGAAAGCAAGAACATGGCGAAGTGCAAACAAATCCAGTCCACAAAAGGCAGAAAAGTTTGGAGAGTTTCGGGCTGCCTGGGCCACGAGCGGGGGAGGGGAGGAGGCGGGAGGAGGGGGAGGGGAGGAGGGGGCAGGGCAGGGCCGCATGCGGGGCCGGAGGGCGGGGGCCGGGCGCGGAGGCACTTACGGTTCGGGCGGTGGGCGAGAGCGATCCGTTGGGGAGGTAGGGGCTCGTCAGGTCGGGGATCATGATGAAGGGGTAGCCGGGATACGGTGGCCCCTTAAAGAGCCCTCCATCTTGCCTCTTGGCGGCTAACATGGCGGGGCGGCGAGGGGACGGCGGCGGCCGCGCGGAGCGGGAGAGAACGAGGAGAAACTTTTTAGAAAGTGCCCCCAGGGGCCGGGCGCCCCGGCAGGGCCGGCGCGGGGCCGGACCGAGCGGGGCGCGGGGCCCGGCGCGCGGGGCGGCCGGCCCGGGGGCGGCTGCGGGGCGCGCGGGGCGTACTCACCTTCTTCCAAACTTTCCCGGGATTTATCTCGGAAACTTTCGGAGCGAGGCGGAGGCCGTCTTTCCGCCTTCCCGGAGGGGTGGAGGTGGGGAGGGCGAGGGGCAAACGCCACGCAGAGGGGGGACGGGGGGAAGAATCGGCGGGGTGGGGGGGGCAGAAAAACAGGGTTACAAGTTTTTGCAATGGTGGCACCGCACGCCCCGCCGCCCGCCCGGCCCGCGGCGCCCCGCCGCCGCCCCCGGCCCCGCGTTCTCCCCTTCCAGCCACCTCTGCCCAGCCCAGGAAAGAGAGAAAAAGCCCCACCAGCCCGAGGGGCTTCTCCTACCTCGGAATCGGAGGAGCTGTTTTGATTCGTTTCTGATTCATTGACTAGAGACGATTTGACATCAGCTAAATCCCTCTCTGCCGACGAGTTTTCGGAGCTCTTCTCCTCCTGTTCGCCCTCGTCTTTGAAGGAAATCAGTTCGTCGTTGGCGCCTAGGTCATCTCCTCCACCGCCGTTCAGCTGCGGCATTTTTTTCACCCACCAGCAGCAATTTTGGAAGAAAAATGAAGGAGGAAGAGAATCCAAAAAAAAAAAAAAAAAAAGACCCAAAAAAGTTTTGCCCCCCCCAAAAAAAAATATTGCAAGAAAAAGACGAGTCCAAGGTGAACTTTTTTTCTGCTTTGGGGTCTTTCTCTCCTGGGGAGGGGAAAAGAGGGAGGAGGGGAGGGGAAGGGGGGGAGATCTTCTGCACGCGTGAGTTTGGGTTTCTTTTTTCTCTCGTTCCCAAGGATCCGATCAATGTGCAAAAAAATAATAAATAAAAAAGGGGGGTAAAAAAAAAAAACACCAACAACAACAAGAAGTCAGATATAAAGAGCAAAGGGGGGGGAAGCCGAAGATACAGGAGGAGCTCGTGCCGCTCGGATTTGAGTGAGTTGAAGTTAGACTGAGAGCTTTTCAGTTCAAAGGCGGCGCTGATTGACAGATAGAAAAAGGGGGATCGAAATCCGGAGGAACGGAGTAGTCTGGGAGCGGAGATTATTGACAGGGCGAGAGGAACACACTCGCCTTAATGAGATGCCGGGGGGCGGGGCCGTCCCGGTGACGTGTGCATAAATAAACAGCCGGGGTGGGCGGGACGGGGGCGGCCAACAATGATCCTTTCGGGCGCCGGGAGAGGGAGGAGGGAGAGGAGCGGGAGGAGAGGGGCGGGGGCGCGGGAGGCGCGCCACGGGGGGAGCGGCCTGCGCGCACTGCGCGAGCCCGGGAGTCTGGAGGGTGCGGGCGCTCGCTCCGGGGGGGGGCGGTTGCAGAAAGACAATGCGGAGCGAGAGAGGAGGGGAAGGGGGTGGCGACCAAGGCAGGAATCCGAGCCGAGCAAGGCGGAAGGAAAGCCCACTTGGGGGGCGGGGATGGGGAAAGGCCCAGAAAAAGTGCACTTTAGAAATAGTAGAAATAAGTCTTAGGGAAGGGGCGAAGGAGGCGAGTGTTGTGGGCAAGGAGAGGGGGTTCTTCGTGATTAATCCAGCGGTGAAGTCAGCTGCCCCGGGAAGGCATGTAACTGAAGTGGTCAAAAGCAAGGATCACCCCTCCAGTTGGAGAGAGCTTGGGGAGGCAGAGGGGCTGGGCAAAGTTCCTGGTCATCTACAGTGAAAGAAACTATTAACCCACGACGCCCCCCCCCSKYYTTTTTTTTTGTTTTGTTTATTAATAGTGAATCATTTTGTTACATGCAAAGTCCCGCTGGGATAGAGATGCCAACATGACTTCTTATCCAAAAAACAAATAATGTAGGGTTTGTCAAGAGCATTAAAAAATATCCTTAAGGAAAATAATATGATTCTTTTTAAATGTAAAGTGTCGTTCTTTTTTCGACTGACGTTGGAGGTGGTAGGAAATGAGCTAGGATTCAAAGTCCTTTCTGACTTGGGAGGTGAAAAGTTTGGGCGTTAACAGCGCCAGGGAAAATAAAACTGAAAGTTCACCAAGCCCTGGGGTCAGTGGGGCTGGAGTCGTTCTCCAAGGGGGTCTGAAATGAAGTCCCTAAAGACTGACCGAATAATCAAGATGTAGATAGTCCTGGCAGGAAATTGCTCACCAAACCCATGCTGGAAGACCTCAGGGAGGAGGTGGGAAACCTGGGAAGAGAGACCGGTATTTGTTGATTGTTAGGCTCTCTCCAGGGGAGCAAGTTGATTTGCTACAAAATGGGGAAAGGAATTATGTTAAAGGGRAAGGCCCAGCTCCCTTAGCAGTGTTCCTGGATGATGGAACAGAAACATTGGTTTTCTTGCAAGTATCCAATGAGAAGTGGACCGGAAACTACAACTTGAAAAGGGAACAAAAAAGAAAATAAATAAATAAATCCATAGGAATTAGCAAATTGCCCATTAGGAGCAACCTTGTTCTGGAATCCACAGTGTATTAAATTATCACACCCTTCCCTAAAATAAAAAATAAATAAATAAACTCACTTGTTCTTCAGTTGGCCCATCAGCACCTACATTTCCAAAAGAAAGCAAAATTCACCATGTAATATTTAGAGAGTTGGGGTTTCAGCAAAACTGTTTTATAGGCTAAGGTCTCAGAAAGAAGACTACTAAAAATAATGATACCGAGATTGACAAGGCCAACGAATTCCCCTGCACTGGAAAAAAAAAATTCACAACCACATTTGCACACGAAAGAGTAAGATGCTGGCAAAATAAAAATGGGTTGGGGGGAGGCAGAGGAGAATCACTGTAACTCCCAACTTTAATATTAATCAGAAAATCAGGAGTGAGAAGGAGTCTGAAAAGAAGTAAAACAAATGTGTACATTTAATCAGACAGGATTGCATAGGATACAAAGCACAGGGCTAATTAGTCTCAGCAGGTAGGAGTAACCTTCAGAGTTCATAAATAAATAAGGCAGGCACAGTGTCTAAGAGGGAGAGTGGAGACAGAAAGGGGATTATTTCAAGACACCAAGTAAAAACATGAAGAATGAAATGCTTCACTGTTAAATCCATGTACAAATGGATTTAMCAGTTTCCTTTTTTAGGTCTTTTCAGGTGGTTGCCTTTAGATTTACACATTTAGCAAAATGACCATAGCTTTGCACACTTGGTAATTGTCACCTGTATGCTTGTTGTGCTAAGTCTGTCTATATACAGTGTAGACTTTCCTAAGGCCTGGTTTAGGGGCTTATTTACTTGAACTGGAACACATTTATAGTAACTCAGTTTTATGGCAATTTCTTTGTCCTGTGGGGTAGGTTTGTTGTTGTTGTTTTACTCTAACCCTGATCTGAATTAAGTTGGATAATGAGGTCTTCTGTGTCCCTTACGGGACTACCTGTATAATAAAAACTCATAAATATATTGAATAGAAATTTTAAAGAGTGTCTTGATTGTTTCTAATGTACTGGCCTGCATTTTTATCACATGTAAATACTAAGGGCTTTTTTCCAGTGATTAGAAATCTCATCCTTTTTGGCATATCCTTATTTTTTTTTTTTTTCATTCAAAAAGAACTCTTGAGTCTTGCCTTCCTTAAATCTCTGATTTAATTAAGCAATTAAAAGTTATTCTATGATAGCACATGTGCCACATTTAATTTTATTGCTTTGTGCTATAAAAAGGCGTGGGGAGACCAGCAAGATCTCAGAGGGTCAATAACCCCTGATCTCTGGAAGGGCTTATGGGGATGCCCAGATGGAGGAGGAGGAGGGGCAGGATTGGAACTGCAATTGGCAGGAAACAAGGTAATACAATATTTAAAAGAAAAAAAAAAAGGTCAGATTGGCCCACAATGTAGACATGTAATTTATAGATTTGGTGCGAAATAAACAACAGTTGGCTTGTATCCAAGTGTTGAAGCAACTTCTCTAGACACTGACAATTCTTGGTTTATGAGACCAAAAGTTCTGCCCAAGTGGCAGAAATTCTAAAAACAGAAGGGGGAAAACAGASTGGTTCTGATGTTAGCCTGGGCCTCTCAAGGGATTCTGGCACCATGGCTTTTGCATATGGGAAATGGACAATAGCCTGTGGGAGCAGGTATACATTTCTCCCATGGAGCCCCTTCCTGGGGAGCCCAGGTCCCTCCGCCCCCTTTTCTCCTCCTCTTCGTCCACTACCCCTTTTTGCTTCTTCACTTCTGTTGACTCCTCTCCATCAAACTCCTTCCCTTAAATCTCCCTCTGTGGAGGTGTGTTGCTATTAGTAACCTGCATTTTACCTTCAAAGGTAAGGGAACAGGTCACTGTCCCAGGGTGTATGTCCTTCCTCATCCCTATCGGTGAGTCTGAAAAGAAAGTTAGTTCCTATCAGTCCCCTTTCAGGTACTGGTCTCCTATGAAGGACATTATGGTGGATGTTCAAGGCCCATTGAAATAGTGGAATGGGTTTGCTGGGGACTGTGGAAATAGGCTGCCGTGTGTGGTGTGGCCCGTGGCCCTTGGTCTGGTCTTACCTGGAGGGGAGAGTGGTTGGATTGGATATTTTCTCGGGTGCTTTTGAACGTTCAAGGAGTCTGATTCCATAGTCTCCTCCCACACCCCAGTTATGTCTGAGAGCTTCACAGCACACCAGCAAACAAGACAAACCATACTAAGAGGTTGGCTTTGGAATTTAGGAAGAACAAGGAGAGTCTGCTTAGACATACCAGAAGGAGGGAGCACGTGTTGACAATCATATTCAGCTCCCCCAACCACCCGGCAAGAGTCTCCTAAATTACCCTTGACTGTGATGTGTACATGCATGCCAAGTGTGTGTTTGTGTTCCTGTGTGATTTCCCTTTAAAGATCCAGGCTCCAAGATGGATGATCTGTTACCCACTGTGTTAGACTTATCTGTGCAGGGAGCGAGCCTGGCTGAGGGAAGCCAAAAAAAGAATCCAAAAACACAAGGAAGCTATAAAATGGGGAAATGTTTAGAACCCAAAGTCCTGATTCCACTAGGAGATTTTCTGTTTGCTTTTTGTTCTGAGTGGGTGATGGTTCCTTATTTGGACTTTGAGGAAAGCTCCTCCCTTAACCAACAAAGCAACATTACAAATTGGACACCCAAGAGTTTTTAGTTTTAGCCAGAGGGAGGGGTCAGCAAAAGGGCCCACTTCATAGGCGTCCTTTTCCCCCCCTCCCCAAAAGATTCTATCAAGAGACTTGGAAAGGCACACGCCCACCTCGTGGAAACCCTGAGGAACAGGGTGCTTCTCTGAAGCACCTGGCTTGATCATCGTGTTGCTCAGCTAACAGCAGATCCAGGCATTAAAGTGACAATAATGCCCGATGATCCAAGGGTTAATGGGGAGATGTACACATCTGTGCAGGCTTCGTCACCTGCTTTCATAAGCCGATCACTACTGCTGTAGGCATTTGTGACAGGAACAGCATTCGGAAGACATCAGTCCCCCGTAAATATACTTTTCCTATCGACAAGATGTCTTTTAACCCTAATGGTGATGGAAGAAGGCCAACAAATGAAACATTTACTGCATAACTTGCCTTATTTTGGGGTGGTGTACGATTCCTTTCTTGCTGTCTCTAGAAGATGTTTTCAGCCTAATTTGCTCCCTAGAAATTTCCTTGCTACAGTTATACATCTATGACGTTTTATCGCCTGAAGCCAAGTCTGCATAAGAACTTTCTTAAGATATACTTATCCTAATGCCAGGCTACAGGATCCCGGCTGCTTTTTTGCTGAATTATTTGTGCTACCCTGATATACAGGGCAGAGACTTCCTGATAGTCATTGCCATGGGGTAGGTCTAAATGTTTCTGAGAAAGGGGAAAAGGCAGGAAAAAGGTGAAAAAAGTTTCATCTAGGTTGATTTGTAGAAGTCTTTAGAATTAATAATGGGGTATTATTTAACATATTAAAATGCCGGAGGTTTTCCTTTCTTTCCTTTTTTAAAGTATCTTCAGTGACCCCCTCCTGTATTACAGAGCATCTTTGCCTACTCAGGACCCATTGCTATGTTCAAAAACATCATGCATACCAATGCACCTTGCACAAAAGCAGGGGCACTTTAAATTGAG